ATGAGTGTGCATGAGGGTTAATCTTTCTAAGTCCTGGGGTCTTCTGTATATGCATTAAAGTAATAATTACAAGAACAACAACAACACTTTATTTATATTCTGTTCTATCTCCCTGTGTATGTTGTAATCCAGAGCAGATTACAATATACACAGATAAGCAAATTTTGAATGTATTTCAATACAGTGACATGTATTTAATGCAATGACATGCAAATACACATAACAAAGGTAAAGGCTTCCCCTTCATCTCTAGCTTTCTGGAGGTGGTGCTCAACTCTGGCCATGGAGAGGTGCTTTTGATCCATTTCCAAGCTAAGGAGCCTCCTTTCCATACCTGATCATGTTTGTCAGTATGACTGCCTTTATTGCCTTCCTGCCAAAGCGGCATCTATTGCTTTACTCACATTTGCATGTTTTCAAACTGCTAAGTTGGCAGGAACTAGAGCTAACAGCAGGAGCTTACCCTGACCCATGGCTTCAAACTGCCAACCTTTAGGTCAGCAGATCCAGCAATTCAATGGTTTAACCTGTTGCACCACCATGGTACAATGTTTTGGGTTTTTTTAAAAATCTTTAGAGCTGTGATTCTCAACCTGTGGGTCCCCAGATGTTTTGGCTTTCAGCTCCTGATATCGAGCTCTTTTGTGGGGGTCTCTCCAAGGGGGGAGAGCCCAAGGACTACACCAAAGAGAGTTCTGGATACCTTGGTGAGATTTTTCCGGAAGCCAATCCAAGAGCGCAAGAATACCTTTAATATGAAATCAGCTCACCAGAGGCAGAAGAAGTCCAGCGATCGAGGTTTATTTGCGATTCAGCTGAGTCGGATGCAATTGTAGGGATAGTTCCTCTACAAGCATACAGATACAAAGATTTCAGGCATTTTTATACAGTACAGGACAAAAGAAAGCAGTTTGAAACTCCCGCCGCCCCTTGCCGGCCGGCTTGACGCTGATTGGCTGAGGCTGGAACAGCTGGGAGGAGGCTTGGCGGCCCGCCTTGGTTTTCAGCCAATCAGAACGTTCCTGCGCCTCGGGAGGGCCAATGGGCACCCTCCGCTCGCTTCTGAGTCTGGGCCAATCAGGAGCGAGGAGGGCGGGACGGCCGCAGACAAAGGGGAAAGATGATGGGATTTGGATTTCCTGCCCGCTGGAATGCGGGCTTTGTCTTGGGCGGGAAGAGGGTGATATTTGGAAAACAAAGAGCTTTCCTGTCCTTGATGGGTCTGGCGAGTGATTTGAATGGGCTAGATCGATATCAGACCACCCGGAGGGTCAACAATATCTGGGTGAATTAATCAGTCTCTTTTTCCGAGGCTCTGCTGACCCCCCTTCCCTTGCTGGCCTTGCTCCGAGGGCTAGGGTTGGGGATCAGCAGCATTGTCCGTGCTGATGAGTCAATCAATGGGTGATTGAGGAAGAGGCTGGGGCTCTTCCCTCAGGCAGTCCCTGGTCACGCCGGTTTTTGTGGGGCGAAGGTCGGGGGGGTGAGGATACAGAGGAATTCATAAGGGTTACATATATCATAATCATAAGGCATAGGCATCTTTAACCTACAGGCATTTCATATTTTACAACTCACAACCCATCCCAACCCCAGTTCATTACAGTAAGAAAATATTTTATTTATTCCATAAAAAAGAAAGGAAAGGAAAACTGGAAATCCCAAAGTCCAGGCGAAGGGGCTTGAAGGTGGAGGTCAGCCCATGGTCCGGGCTGGCCAACAGAAGATCGGTTCTTCCTTGAAGCAGGAGCTGGAGCTGAAGGGGGAGCTGGGTTCCACTGCTCTTTCCTTGGTAAAACTAGCGCTCCCAACCGAGGATCGGGCCTCCCTGCCCGACCCTCCTCTCCCAAGGCTCCCCCTTGGGCAGCGGCGGTGGGTCCCCGGTGGCGGGGACCATGCAGGAGCAAGCGGCAGCGAGCGGGATGTAGCGGTCCGGAAAAGCCGGCGAAAATTTGACAATCAGCTGTTGACTCAGCCAGATTTAATATTTAAACAAAAACAATTATTTCCCGGGTGCAGGAGTCCAAAATGAGAAAACCAAGATGGCAGTTAGCCTTAGAATTTAATGCAGAAAAATATGAAATTTGAACGGGGCTGATCCGCCATGTTGTTGTTTTGGCGGATAAGGGGGTCCATTAGGAAAACCTCCGTATCCGCGGTTTTAACTAACGCAGATTTGGGGGGCCCAGGGAGGCCGGGAAGGCATCCCCGGTGAGCTCACGGTTCCCCGGAGCTCAGAAAAAGGTTTATTTTATGTTAGAAAAGTTTCAGTCAGTAAAGGACACAAAGTATCAAGCGGAAAGGATTTAAAGTTTCAAACCTTAAGTGTTTTATTAGGGGCTTTGTTACATCAAGAGGGAGAGAGGGGAAAGTGAAAGAAAGGCTTCTTGCAGCCTTGAGTTTAGCTTGAGCTGCTCGCTGGGGCACATTTCATCAGTCAGGCCCAACTTGGCTCTCCGGAACTACGGAACTCCCTGCTGCGGTTCAGACCAGCTTGAAGGCGGGAGATCCTGCCGCCTGGGGGGGATATCACTCCCAGAAATCCTAGCAGCTGGTAAACTGGCAGGGATTTATGAGAGTTGTAGGCCAAAACATCTGGGGACACACAGCCAGGTTGAGAACCACTACTTTAAAGTTACAGTACAACAGTAGTAAATTGTATTTGTTCTCCACTCCCACATGCCCTCTCTGTGAGATCAAAGGCACTGGATGAAACTGTTTTGGGGGTGAGTACTGGGGGTAATTTCACTCCAAGGAAGCCTGCATATCAACAACATACTGACAGTTTACTACAGACAGTCCCTGACTTACAAACATCCGACTTGCAAACCACTCATAGATAAGAATGGGATGAGATAACAGGAAAGGAGAGAAATCTGCCCCTGGGAAAAGAAATTAACTCTGAAAGAGTTATCACAGGAAAAAGGTGTCTCCACTGAAGCTTTATCACTTCAAAAAGGGCTGCAGTGGCGCGGTAAGTTAAACTGCTGAGCTGTGGAACTTGCTGACCAAGGGTCAGTGGTTCAAATCCACAGAGCGGGCTGAGCTCCCATCATTAGCCACAGCTTCTGCCAACCTGGCAGTTTGAAAACATGAAACACATGCAAAGGTATTGCACCGATGGGAAGATAATGGCACTCCATGCAGTCATGCTGGCCAGATGACCTAGGAAATGTCTACGGACAATGCCGTCTCTTTGGCTTAAAAATTGAGATGAGTACCACTCCCTAGACTCGGACTTCACTAGACTTATGTCAAGAAGAAACCTTTACCTTTTACACTTTAAAAATGTACCTGTTCAAACTTACAAACAAATTCAGTGTAAGAACAAACCTACAGAACCTTTTTCATTCGTAACTTGGGGCCTGCCAGAATGCCATTATAACTCTACATATTTTTTTAAAAATCAATACAACCCAATGGAAGAAACTGAAGCCTCTCTTAGGATTGTAACACATCTGAAAATGCACTGGGGAGAGTTGGTAAGGGTCTGGATGCATCTACATCTGATATCACAACTTATATCACAAGGGAGAAGCTCATAAGTATGCCACCTTATTGTTGAAGTTTTTGTGTGTGTAAAGAAAAGGAAAATATTTGGACAGGAAAATGACAAGAAAGATTGAAGATTAAGAAGTCCCATGAAACTGGAGGATATAAAGAACTGCAAATCACTACTCTGGTAAAGGTTCTCCCTTGATGTTAAGTCTAGTGATGACTGACTCTAGGGCAGGGGTCCCCAAACTATGGCCCGAGGGCCGGATATGGCCCTTCCAAGGTCATTTACCCGGCCCTCGCTCAGGGTCAACCTAAGTCTCAAACGACTTGAAAGCACACAACAACAACAACAACAACAATTCTATCTCATCATCCACACTTCCCATTTAAATACTAATAAGTTTATATTTGTTAAAATTGTTCTTCACTTTAATTATTGTATTGTTTTTAAGTGCTATTTGCACAAATAAGATATGTGCAGTGTGCATAGGAATTCATTCTTTTTTTCTTCTTCTTCAAATTATAATCCGGCCCTCCAACAGCTTGAGGGACTGTGACCTGGCCCTCTCTTTATAAAGTTTGAGGATCCCTGCTCTAGGGGGTGGTATTCATTTCCATTTCTAAGCCAAAGAGCCAGCATTGTCCATAGACACCTCCAAAGTCATGTGGCCAGCATGACTGCATGGAGCGCCATTACCTTCCTGCAGAAGCAATACCTAGTAATCTACTCACATTTACATGTTTTCGAACTGCTAGTTTGGCAGAAGCTGGGCCTAACATCGGGAACTGATCATGCTCCCCGGATTAGAACCGCCAACCTTTTGGTTGGCCAGTTCAGCAGCTCAGTGGTTTAACTCAGTATGCCACCAGGGGGCTCTTTGGGGCTATATAACTGTAACTAATTACTTGTTAAAGCACCTTCCCAAGATGTATGTCTTTCCTGCCACAAAGGGAGCTTCTCCCATGGTTTGGATTAACAGCCACACTGTGCTGACACTACATACTTCAGAGTCTGGTCCTGCCATGGGCTGACAATGCATAGCAGGCCATGTAATCTAGCCACCCTTTGGCTGTATTCCCGCTTATAACATAAATGAAACAGACACATTTAAACCTTAATTGGTTCAGTTGAAAATACACTGTATAGAAATTTGCCGGATTAAAGCTGAAAAACAATATAAATTTTCCTGGAAGTAAGCTTACCAAACACACTGAGATGTATACTATGTGTGTCAAGGATTGTGCTGTGATTGTGTAATCAGCTAGAATTTTGTTCATTATAGATTACTAGATATAAGAAGGGCAGAACTCTACTCCCATTTACCCTGACCATGCCCATGCTAACTAGACTTTGCCAAGAGCTGTGTTTCAACATTGCAAATACACCATGTTTAAGCTTTTGGAGAGTTTAAGCTTTTGGGTGTGGTTTTGTTGCATATTACTGGGTTGACTCCTTCAGAAATGCGTGTGTAGTGCAGTTGCTGTTAAATTGCTTCTTTCAGGCTCCCCAGTGACCCCATTTGACACAATGGCATCACTGTTAAATAGGGATGGAGAAAGGCAGCGGCATTGGCATGTAGACTGCAGACTTCTGAGATCTTCAACCACAATATTGGTATGTTGCTGCAGCCAACTGTTTGCTTATTTTTATCTCTCTTCCCCATCCCTCCCCAGGACAACTGGAAGAATAAGATGGCTTAGACTGCAGTTATTTTGGGAGCAATTAATTTATAAAGTGTCTGAAGTATGTGCTGCTCTTGAAAGCGGGAACAAATATTTACATCTTGCCAACCATAACATCAAGCTTTCGGAATGCTTTCTGAATTCAATACTTGGGAAAGAATGATCTATTATCACTGTTCTCTGTTGCCCAATACGTGTGGACACAGAAGAAAGATTTACCTCCTTTTCCAGTGAAATAATTAATTTTCTCAAGGGTTGTAGGTCTCAGTTTTTGATACTTATAATGGGCTTTTTTTTTGCCATAACTGTCAGAGCAGTTCCAAGAGATTCAGAAATTATTTGTCTCAGTAAAGTAAGGATTATAGTTCCCAATAAAAGTTGTGGGTTTCTTTTAAAAACATAAAGAAATGAATGAATGACCTTCATTTGTTCATTCATTGTTACAGCAGTCAAGAAATGGGTAGTTGTAGTAGTAGCAACAGTAGTAAAAGAAATAACAACAAAGCAAACAAAAGTGTGTGCAATAGTTAATTCATAGAAAACAGAGAACCTTTGTCCAGTTTATCCAAAATTTGTCAGGTCTCATATTCAAGGGAGGAAGAATGAGGGCTCCATAAATGTTGGCTTTGGTTTCTGGTCAGACATTTCTTGTTGGTGTTGGGAATCAAGAGCTGTTGGGCTCAAAAATAACCTTCACTTGGGGGTGATCCCACAAAATACAGCAGAGTGCCAGAAGCACAGTTCATAAGCAGCAGAAACTTATGGGCAGTGAGCAAGGATTGGCTTCCATTCAACAGGATGGAACAGGATTGCAGATTCACAACTTCATAGGATCAAAAATAATATGTTTATTAAAGACTAGCCATCCCTTGCCACACGTTGCTGTGGCTTAGTCTGGTGATCTGAAAAATAAAGTAACAAGAAAGTGTTGGTTTCTAATATATGTAATTTCTTTAATCTTGTGGGTAAACAGTATTTCTTGTTGTTTCTTCATCAATGTTGATGTAGAGATTGTCTTGTTTGCTTACTCTGGAACATGCAACATATAATTGTCCTTTTTTAGGGGTCCCTTTCAAATCTATAATACTATATCTGTCATATACATGTGTGTGTGTGTGAATATCATATCTATCTATCTATCTATCTATCTATATCTATGTCTGGATGGCTCTTTGTCAAGAGGGCTTTGATTATATTTTATTGCCCTGGTGAAGGGGGTTGGACTGGATGGCCTTCAGGCAGCATTTTTCAACCTGGGGGGGGGGGGGTCAGGATTTCTGGAGGGGGCCATGAGGCAGTGTCAGAAGAGCTGCCAAAGACCACCAGAAATCACAGTATTTTCTGTTGATCATAGGGGTTTGTGTGGGAAGTTTGGCCCAATATATCATTGGTGGGGTTCATTGTAACTTTAATTGTACCTGAACTATAAATCCCATCAACTACAACTACCAAATGTCAAGGTCTGTTTTCCCCAAACTCTATCTGTGTTCATATTTGGCCATATGGAGTATTCATGCCAAGTTTGGTCCAGATCCACCATTGTTTGAATCCACACTGCTCTCTGCATGTAGGTGAACTACAACTCCAAAACTCAAGGTCAATGCCCCACAAACCCTTCTAATGTTCTCTGTTGGTCATGGGAGTCCTGTCTGCCAAGTTTGGTTCAATTCCATCGTTGGTGGAATTTAGAATGCTCTTTGATTGTAGGTTAACTATAAATCCCAGCAACTACAACTCCCAAATGACAAAATCAATTCTTTTGAGTGATGGTCACTCCTTGGGGCAGTAGGTGTCTCACTCTAATGTATCTAGACTAACTGCTCATTGAGTGCTGGAGACTTGTGTAGTCAGGGATGAAAACCAGCAGTTGGCACTACAATTCCCAACCCTGTATTCTTCTGGTATACATGGAGGGTTTGGGAGAAAAGTAGTGGTTTTCTTCTTTGTACCTGGTCCAAAGGAAGTACAGTAGAGTCTCACTTATCTAACATAAGTGGGCCAACAGAACGCTGGATAAGCGAAAATGTTGGATAATGAGGGATTAAGGAAAAGCTTATTAAACATCAAATTACATTGTGATTTTACAAATTAAGCACCAAAACATCATGTTTTACAGCAAATTGACAGAAAATGCAGTTGAATACATGGTAATGCAATGTAGTAATTTAACACCAAAACATTGCAATGGATTGAAACAGTTGTTGATCCAGAGGGGAGGCAGGCTGTGTTGGATAATACAGAACATTGGATGAGTGAAGGTAAAATAAGCGAGACTCTACTGCACCTATGAAGCTTCTCCCTCTGCTGGGCATGGAATCTGCCTGTTTGTTACCAGCTTGAAGAATGCAGTGGGAATGATACCTATGTGAGAAGTGTTGCAGCAAAATTTTGGGGGTTCTGTGTGCAGCAACAAAACAATCCCCTTCTATAGTGGAAGTACTCCCCTTTGATTAAGGAGCAGACAAATACAACTTGTCTTGTCAATAGAAAAGTTTATTCTGAAATATTTACATATGTGTAGCAGAAGATTTTGTCTCTACTCCAGTCCTTCTTCCTGATACTCTGTTAGTCCATACCTTCTTCTTGGCAAAAGGCTCTCCCTGGTTTTCTTTACTAATCCTTCCCTTTCTCTGCAGCTTCATTTTCCAATAGCACACATCATCACCACTAACAACATGGAAGCTTGGGCTTCTTCAGTACACTTACAGCTACTCCAGCCTGGGTGTAGATTGCTCAATGCTAGCCAGGTGATTTGACACTTAATGCTTGTTGGCCCTGATCCTTACACTTACTTGTTGTCACTTAAGAAATGATATGATGTAAAAACTCTGACAAGAAGGATCTGGGCAGTTCTGGAGCCAGACTCAAGTCAGTTCACTATATATCAGTTAAATATTTTGACATAGATTGTGGCAGGAGGAAAAGGCTATGGATGCTCTGGCTGTGAAAGCAGTAAAATGTCTTTGGAAAATGAGCTAATAGGAAGTTACTGGTGTTTTTGCCTTTAATGCTTTTATAAGGTTTTTATAATGTGTGTTAGTCGTTTTTAATTTTGTTTTTGTTAATTGTGGCATCAAATCATGCCAGTGTAAGCCGCCTTGAGTCACCTTCAGGCTGAGAAATGCAGCATAGAAATGCAGTAAATAAAGAAAGAAATGTTGAAGGAATACATTGCCCAGAGCTGGCATCCTTTGCTATCTTCCCTCGCCATGCATACATGACCCAGAAAAACATATAGCCATAGTGCACCTCTAGCCTGGGTTTCCTGCTCATCAGAGGTTAATGTTCCTGAGCTCTGGTGATCTGAGTGCAGGCAGTCCCCAGGTTACGAACAAGATAGGTTCTGTAGATTCGTTCTTAAGCTGAATATGTATGTACGTCAGAAAATATACATTTGTATGTCAGAGGAGTGCATCTGTGATGTGGAACAGTAGTTCTCAACCTGTGGGTCCCCAGGTGTTTTGGCCTACAATTCCTAGAAATCCCAGCGAGTTTGCCAGTTGTTAGGATATCTGGGAGTTGAAGACCAAAACATTTGGGGACCCACAGGTTAAGAACCAGTGTTGTACAATGACTGCAGCTTGACTCCACTTTAACTGACCTAGTTCAATGCTATGGAATCCTGGAGGCTGTAGTTTTTCAAGGTCTTTAGCCTTCTCTGCAAAGAATGCTGCTGCCTCACCAAATTACAGATCCAGGTTTACATAGTATTGAGCTATGGCAATTGCAGTGATGTCAAACTGCATTAATTCTGCAGTGTACATGCACCCTAGGCAGGGAAGAAAATGGAGAGAAAGGCACAGATGTGATGGCAAGGGAATGGAGGGAAAGAGACAGACGTGAAGGCAAGCGAATGCGGGGAGAGCAGGGGAGACACATGTTTGTTACAAGGAGTTAGGCATGTAGCCAGGGCTTCAGCCCCCCTCCCCCCCCCCCGAAATTCTTATGGTGGTTCGCTAAAAGGCCTTACTGGTGCATTATTTAAACTGTTAAGTTTATTCATATCATGATCTGATCACCATATTCAATATATCCCATATGCGAGTAGATCGCATGGGGTGACGATACAAAAGGTTTGCTAGGGTAGATCCTCTTTCACTCAGACTCAGTCCCGTCCCCCCCCCCCCCCCCCCCCCCCCCGAATCGAAATTCTGGCTACGGGCCTGCTAGGAGTTGAACGTAAATCGGATGTTCATTACTTAAGCAGAATCCAGCCAAACGTTCTGCCTTTAAATGAAGAGTTACAGATAGCAGAAGACTGAAAAAGCTTTTAATTGCAATGAATGAAACAAAGCAAACAAACAGATATAATTATAATAAATGAAAATTGAATTAATAAAAAAATGTCAATTTGTATCCCATTTGTAATGCACAATTGTTGTGTATCTTTATTTCATTTCTGCTTTATGGTGACCCTAAGGTGAATTTATCATATAGCATTTTCTGAGGCTAAGAGTTTGTGACTTGCCCAAGGTCACCCAGTGAATTTCCATGGCCAGGCAGGGAATGAAATCCTGGTCTCTAGAATGGCAGCCTAAAACTGAAACCACTACACCATGCTGACTCAATAAGGTAAATGTAAAGGTTTCCCCTGACATTAAGTCTAGTCGTGTCCAACTCTGGGGGGTAGTGTTCATCTCCATTTCTAAGCCGAAGAACTGGCATTGTCCATAGGCACCTCCAAGGTCATGTTGCCGGCATGAATGCATGGAGTGCCCTTACCTTCCCGCAGAAGCGGTACCTATTGATCTACTCACATTTGCATGTTTTTAAGTTGCTAGGTTGACAGAAGCTCAGCTAACAGCAGGAGCTCACCCTGCTCCCCAGATTTGAACTGTCAACCTTTTGGTCAGCAAGTTCAGCAGCTCAGCAATTTAACCCACTGTGCCACCAGGGGGGCTGACTCAATACCTAGCACTTATTTAATTGAGAATCTCCCAGTCGATCTCCAAGGCATGACTGCACTACTGCATTACATTGGGTTTTTTTTTATTATTTGAAGACTGTACTTCCTCAAACACCTTTGTTTCCAGATCATTTTCATGCAGCTTTACAGTTCACTAGCCATAATGCCTCATTCTGGAAACTATTATTGACCCAAATGGGAAGCATGAATTATCATATATTCAGGAGAAGAAAATAGCTGGGAAAATCTAGATAGTGATTTCATTGCCAGCTAACATTTCTTAGAAATAGTAAGGATGTGATTATAAAAGAATTGCTGAAAATATCAGATTTTAAATTGTGTGTGTGAAAAATAACGTTTTAATAAACTTTCAACTATCCAGGTAAAAGTGACAAGTATTGCTATTTTCTTCCCATTCCTAATTTGGCAGGCTCTACAACTACAATGGAAGCTGAAGAAGCTTCAGGGGGTGGCACACTATTATCTACTACCGTGGTAATAACACATGCCACCATATCCACTGTATTTTCGACAAGTGACCAGGATTTGCAGGCTGCCACCATACTGACACAAACAGAGACACAAACAGAAAATGAAAGTATCTCCACGATAGAAATGAATGCAGAACAAGAAAGTCTACACCCTGCTCTGATTTTTGGAGCCCCTGCAGCACTGCTTCTAGTCATATTCATTTTACTGGTCATCTTTATTGTAAGACGCCACAAGCAGAAGCAATCCAAACAAGGTAAGTGTTTAGTGTTTCTTGGCTGATGTGCTATGAACATTTAGAATAGTTGTGGAAATTGGGCTCTTGTGCTATATTATTATTATTATTATTATTATTATTATTATTATTATTTCTTAAACTTTCTTTATATCCCACCACCATCTCCCCTTGGGGACTCGGGGCGGCTAACATGAGGCCAAGCACAAAGAATACAGCAAACAAATAAAATACATACAGCAAATAATAATTAAAATAAAATACAGCAATAAAAACAAGAAAATGCAAACAAGAAAAGAAAAATAACACAGTGGGATAAAACACTGGATATGAAGTAAAATAAAAATTATGGACAAAAAGTAAATCAAGGTGGACTGGGCCAGATGCATGGATAAAAACAGGAGACATAGGGTGAGATGGGAGAACTAGAGTGATTTTTCAGGTGGGAGATATGGGAGGGACAAGCTATGGGGTTTAATTTCCTGCTAGGAACAAGGTTAATTGCATCAAGAGGATGAGTATATGCTGAGACGGTAGTGGGAAATTGTTGTTCATTCATCAAAAGCAAGGCGGAACAGCCAAGTATTCAAGCTTTTCCTAAAAGCTGACAAGGTGGGAGTTAGCCTAATCTCCCCAGGTAATGAGTCCAAAGCCAGGGGGCCGCCACCGAGAAGGCTTTCTCCCTCATCCCCATAAGCCACACCTGTGATGGGTTGGGGGCGAGAGGAGGCCCCCCCCCCTGGAAGATCAAAGAGGTTGTGCAGGTTTGTAGGAGGAAATGCAGTCGCGAAGGTAGGTGGGTCCCAAACCAGCTTTGAAGGTGATAATGTGCACCTTGAATTGGGACTGGAAAATTAAAGGCAGCCAGTGGAGCTCCTTAAACGGAGGGGTGGGGGTAGAATGATCCCTGTAATTTGCTTCAGTTAGTAATCTGGCTGCCAAGCATTGAAAGCCCTCCCAGCCACCGCCAACACATGTGCTACAAAGGCAATGATTGGGGAAGCTAATTTTGCAAACTATAAAATGCTGGCTTACAGATTCGATGTGGTCCTACAAAACATTGTTTTGTGGAAAGGTAGGGTTTAAATAGGATCTAACTTTTGTGCAATTGCTTTAGATTATCAGTGCGCATGTGAAGAAAGAACAAGAGGAGAGAATGGGCACATACATCTGCAGTGGTGTTGGGCTTGTACACCTGTCTGAAATATGTGGTTGCATTGGGATTCCCAATTATGAAAACCTTGGGGACATGAAGTTCTGCTGGATAGTATCAGTTCTTACCTTATTTATTATGGACAGGTCATAGAATAGGCCTGTGGGCACATAGAATAGGCCTGGGATGGGCCTTTGGCCACCTCCATGTATTCACTGAGCACAAAGAGGAAAAGAAGGGAAGATTTCAGGCATGTGCTACCATTCATCTGTCACTCATAGCAGTTAAATTAGGGGGGAAATTTGAACATCTGTGCAAGACCCACCCTCTATGTTAGTCAGTCATTCAGGAATGTAAGGCCTCCAATATGCCCCAACCTGTAGCTGTCACATGCAAAATATTGAGACAGGAAAATGTAACAGCACCCAGGATTGCTCCAAGTGAGCAACTTGGTCCATCTAGGTTTCACACTTAGCTAAGGCCTTTAACTTAGTTGCAATATTTACATCACTCAAGCTTCACTTCGTATCACAAAGTGGGAAGATTATAATGGAGCAAGTTTGAAATGTTGCATGCAGCTGCAATGGCGCAGTGGATTAAACCGCTAAGCTGCAGAAATTACTGACCAAAAGGTTGACAGTTCAAATCCATGGGATGGGGTGAGCTCCCGTTGTTAGCCCCAGTTCCTGCCAACCTACAGTTCACAAACATTCAAATGTGAGTAGATCAGTAGGTACCGCTTCGGCAGGAAGGTAATGACACTCCATGTAGTCATGCCGGCCGCATGACCTAGGAGGCATCTACAGACAACAGCGGCTCTTCGTCTTAGAAGTTGAGATGAGCACCATCTCTCCAGAGTCGAACTCGACTAGACTTTAATATCAAGGGGAAACCTTTACCTTTGCTTTACTTGAAATGTTGCACTTCCCCTTCTCTCTGATAATTCATAACTGGGACATTGTTAGAACACTGGATCCTCTTGGAATACTTTGCTCCCTACTGCTGAAGCTACATTTGGAAGCCATTAAAACCGGTCTGGACTCATGGGTCTCAGTTTTTTCATGGGACTCTAATGGGATTTGTTATCTGGAGTTATTGGTGCCTGTGGTCTCTTCTTCTGACACCATTAGTCCCTCACCATCTGCACATACATTAATGCTGGACTCCTTGGCCATGGTAACGTGTCATGTTCTAAAGCAGTGGTTCTCAACCTGTGGGCCCCCAGATGTTCAACTCCCAGAAATCCTAACTGGTAAACTGGCTGGGATTTCTGGGAGTTGTAGGCCAAAATACCTATGGACCCACAGGTTGAGAACCACTGTTCTAAAGAGATCTCCATTGAGGTTATATCTTCAAAATACCTTTTTCCAACTGACTGTTTCTAATATAGTATTCTCTCTCACAGATCCTTGTATTCTTATTACTGAAACATCTTTTCCTTCAGCATACATTTGGAGCACATATCTGTGTCGTGGATAGTATCTATCTACTTATAGATTTCTAGAATAAATCAAATGGTATGAATCTTCCTAGTGGAAAAAAAAAGACTCTCAATGAGCTGTATTTCCCCTTTTATTCTGTTCTGTTCTTATTCAATTCATGCTGTACTTGTACCTTCTAGATGCTACCACCAGATGTCGTATAGGGCATCTTTAGATAAAATCTGTAGCAGCTCATCTTTCTCATTCATTTAAGATAGTCCCACTCAGGCCCGTAGCCAGGATTTCGTTTCGGGGGGGGGGGGGGGGGGAAAAAAATTTTAGGGGGGTTTCGGGGGGGGGCGGGCTGAGTCTGAGTGAAAGAGGGTCTACCCTACCAAACTTTTGTATCATTACCCCAATACCCCCATGCATATGGGATATATTGAGTATGGTGATCAGATCATGATATGAATAAACATAACAGTTTAAATAATGCACCAGTAAGGCCTTTTCGCGAACCACCATGAGAATTTCGGGGGGGGGGAGGGGCTGAAGCCCCCCCCCCCCCCCCAGCTACATGCCTGGTCCCACTGCTTCCTTAGAATACTATTGACTTTATATCTTGGGCAGAAACCCTGCATTTGAATTCCTATTTGCGTCTCAACAAGCTAAAACAAGCATGAATCCCCCTTGTCAATTGCTTTCTTCTCCACTCCCAGCCCTCATACATAGAGAATCCCAAGTGGGCAAGTCTTGGCTTAGCAGAAACTATCCCTGAAGCAAATTCAGGAGTGGAAAACAAAGAATTTTTAAGTAAATCAATAAATAAGCAAGAAACAGAAATGTTTGGCAACTCAGCAAAGATTTACCTTGCAGCTGTACACTGAACGTCCAGAAAGGTGTTGTCTGGATACAGAGAATCTAACGATTTGACATGTTTGTTCTGATGCCTGGCAATCCTATTATGAAGGTTTTATATTCACCCAGAGCTTGGAGGCTTTTTTATTGTGATTCCCAGTATCCTCAAACCAGCAGGCAATTTTGGAAATTGTAGTCCAAATAGGATTTTTTTGTAGACCCCAAAAGTAATGCTCCCAATATTACCTTAGGCAATGCCCGGGTTATTTGAAAAAGGCATTGTTTCTTTTCTTCTTCTTCTTCTTCTTCTTCTTCTTTTTGATGTTAGGTAATATCAGTTTGGTAATTTGTACCATTTTTTATTAGAAAAAGTCAGTTTTTGCCTTTGTTTTTTTTAATGAATGCTCCCATTAGAAAATGCATAAGGATGTGGGTGAATTGCAATTCCCAAAAATTCACATTTGGCCATGTTGGGACTGTGTGTCAAGTTTGGTCCAGATTTGGTTCACAGTGCTCTCTGGATGTAGGTGAACTATAACTCCTATATGTTCCCCCAAAGACCTCCAGTATTTTTGTTGGCCATGGGAGATCTGTGTGCCAAGTTAGTTCCAGGTCCATCGCTGGTGGGATTTAGAGTGCTCTTTGATTGCAGGTGAACTATACATCCCAGTACTTACAACTCCTATACATCAAGATCGACTCCCTACCAAGCCTCTCCAATATTTTTTGTTGGTCATGGGGGTTCAGTATGCCAAATGTGGTCCAGGTCCATTGTCTGTGCAGGGTGAACTACAACTTCCATCATGTTGAGTCAGTCCCCCAAACGCCTCCAGTGTGTTCAGTTGCCAATCAGTGTTTGCCATAGAGAAGAATATAAAAGGGTTACGGGAGAGGCAGTGGGTGGAATCATGCAAATTCCACACCAATGGAGAGAGTGGAGGAAAAACATAAAATCTAGGAGGACTTTGCTCCCGAATAAAAGCATTCACATGGTGGTGGGCAGTATGGCATTTATGGAGGACATTCACAGGGCTCTTGTACATGTCCATGGTGCTCGCTGTAGCCTGCAATGTCATTGGAGGGAGGGTTTTTGGTGTCTCCTGAGTTGTGGAAGCTATAGCTGTTTGTGGAGGCAAGAGCTTGTCTGTGTAAGAGGACACGCCTGACACATACACACATACATATTTTCACTTTTATTATGTGTATAAAATAAATAATAGGGAGGAAAATAGAGCAAAGCCCAGTTAGCAAGAAATAAATACTGGTTCTCCCAGTCTCTGACTGAGCTCAATAGTCTTTCAGGAATCCTATCAAAGCCTGGTAGATTGTGTGCTGAACAGTGTGGTCGAAACCAAACACATTTCTTAATTTTACCACTATACTATTTGGCTAACCACGATGGCAGTGTATATAAGAAATCCCACTTGATGTGGTCTGACTGCTTCATAGTTCCTATTTCTTCTCTGTTCTTAGGTGGATGTGATTGTTTTTTTTGTTCCAGGATTTATCTTTATGTTGTTTAGTTATATATAAAGTCTACAGATGAGGCAGTCATTCAGGAATGAGGACACCTTCAATCAGCCTGACCC